ATCAAAAGGTGTAACAGCATAACTTACAGAGCCACTGGAATGCTAATAGAAATTTTGCATGATTGCAAGGATTATTATGACGCTCAATGACTGCAGTAAATGTGAAATGGACTGCATTTTTATTGCACCTTAATCCAGATAGTTTTGTAAAGCACTTTACAATGCTTTATAACATGGGATGCCTGTTATCAAGCATAAGTGACTATCAATAGTGATGATGTCTTTAATACAAGTGACCTTAAAACACAGCAGTAATCATAGGTTGTAGTCCAAGCTGCAGATGTGAAGACAGATCGTAAGCAGTGGCCTGTCTTTGAATTGAATGGATTGATCCTTGAAATATCTCCCATCAAAACAAAAAGAAAACAGTGTGAGTGATCTAAATCACAATCAAGTGACAGCTTGGTTATTCTTTATAGCTCTGCCATATAGGATTAGTGAGATTGAAAGCAGATGCCCTCAATACAACTCTAGACAGACAGCAGGGAGATCATACTGGGATCAAACACATACTGAAGATAACTGTTTTATACTAAACCCATATGTAACCTGAACACATATTTAGGACCCTGCATAGAATCACAGATTATTAAATATGCCTTGTGAAGTGTATATCCAAAGCTGTGAAATCCTAGAAAAACATGACTGGTTTCTATTAAATTCCAGTTTCTGTGTAAAAATTATCAAGAGATTTTAATGTGAGAAAAAAAACACACACAAACTGCTTGGCAGATATACAGCATGGACCACAAGCTATCTGTCTCAATGGTTTCCTGAAATGCCAGGGGAGTTTTTCACTGCTCCATTTTATTTTTTCTGGACCTGATCTAGCCCAAAAGTTATGGCTCAATGTCAGACAGAGCAAGACAGATTATTCTTTATCCAATGAGCAAAAGATACAAACTTTTTTCTGTATCTGTTGTAAAGCAAACAACAGACAGATCTCGTCCCATGGCAGGGATTCTATTACTTTCTTACCCTTTCTTACTATTAGAACAACCTGGCTATGTTCAATTCGGTCAACACTCATCCATAAATGCATCTTTAAAAAATGTTAAGTAGCTGAATGTAACTTGAGGTTATCGTCACTGTTGCACTACAAATTTAACAAATCGAAAGTAGTGTGCGGAGAGGAAATTAAACTGCAGTTTTTCTCAGTAATCGAGCACATGCTGGATGAAGCCTCATAACATGTTCAGAAAAAAAAAAAGAATGACTGGTGAAGGATGTGTTTACAGAGCACAGTGAAGAATGTTTCAAACCACATTAATTCACTATATTTGTAAAAGGAACAGCAGCTGTCTCAGATTCTCACTGGGAACCCACAAAGCATAACTCATGATCCCACTCATGGTCTATTTAGGTCTAACAATTAACTCAAAGAATCCACACTTCTGACGAGCACCAACTGAATCATACTTTTCCATTTCCTTTTATGATACATTCCTGAATTGACACAAAAGATACGATTATTTATAATAATAAACATACACTCAGCAAATTATTTTTATTTTTTTAGGTAATAATATACTTCTTCTCTTAAAATAAAAGCACAAAAATAGCATTTACCCCTAATGTTGCCTAGATACAATACTTCATCACATTCCTCTTCTTTGAGGGTGAAGGTGGCTTCTCCGTATTCACACATAATGGTGGTGCTTGAAGAAGAACAAATGTGCAAGCTCAGAGCCTACTGCAAACACAGCTAAAATTAGTTTGTATAATGTTTACTCAAAGTATCACATGCCACTAAAACAACAATCAAAAAGAACACAGAAGACAAGAGGGGGAAGTGAAAGGTCATGGGGAAGGAGAGGAAAATGTTGCTGTGCTGACCCCAAACTGACCTACAGTAACCAAGCAGCACATTTAGGTGGAAAAGAGTTTCTGTGCATTAGGTATTACTTCAGCTGTAGTTCTGATAAACTATTCTCCCATCATATCGTTCAGACATTTTCCACTGTTTCATAAGTGATGCAAAAATCATTGAGTTTTTGAACTTTCCCATGTGGACGCTTGTCAAAAAATGCCTAAAAAGGAGCTGGAAGAACCACAGATGATGAGGACGGAAAGAGTCTGGGGCAACAGGAACCCAGACACCCGCACACATAATGTACATAAGTGGGCCCTTCCTCATAAGTCATCCTTACAGTATTGGGTGGTCTCACTTTTAATCAGCTGCATTGTTAAAAGTATTTCCCTCTAACCTTGTTAACACCTGCAGTATACAATACAATGGAATTAAAGAGGTGTGGTGTGATGACTTTTGCACATTTATTCCATCTACAATGCTGTTCACAATGTGAAAACCAACTCAATATCACCACTACACATGACTTATGGTATGTACTCCACCTCATACTTTGATTTAGTGTTATTGCTAGGCCAAAGCCATATTATGTTCCTAAAAAGGCATCAGAATAACAGGCTGTGGTTGTCTTGTAAGCCAGACTTATATACTATGCTGTACTCTATGTAATTTTTTGGATCAGTTACATATGGTAAGCATATGTAAAGTCATTGCATCATTATTCTATAGTTATCACATCCATCAAAGCTAAATAAATGTAAGCTTTAATGTAATAGCAACAGATGTATATTCTTTACAAGTCTATTTAGCATTGTGGGTCTCTAATGAACCTTAAAATAGGCCTGTGGTATACAGTTGTCTCATCACTCATCTAATTAAGCAACCGAAGTAATGGTTAAACTGTTGGCAGATGTTTCCATATATGTACCTTCTACTCACTTACTCCTCCCTTTGTAAATGCACTTAGATTACATATACAGTAATCATTACAATTCCTTAGATGGAGTAGTGATATCCATCAGATTTATAAAAATATATATTTATATAAAAACAGATATAAACTGCAACCGATTCAGCACATCTCCAGCATGCATTATGTTGGCTGGGCCTTATGTGACATTAAGCTCTGGAAGATAAATAGAGAAAAGGGACATTTATTCCTGGCCCGTGGACAACAACAAGAAATATGAACCATTTATGGTGCCATTCACTGGTCATGCACTGGGATGAAAACATGTCACAGGAATGACACTAACCAATAACGTGATGGAATGAAAAGCTGTAAGAGTCATGTTGCCTGGCTCAGCAGTGCATGTGTGGCATGCTGCAGACCATTAATGACTCAACACAGGACTGCTGGTGGACACAGGAGGTATTCAACAGTTTTATGGTGCACAGAGTAAAAATGATCAAAGTTACCACATTGTACCAACACTTGTGATTTTAACCGATTCAAAGCTTCTGTCTGGCTTTATTTGACACCTTTCCCAACTCACCTGTCTTCTTTTATTTTAAACTCTAAAAAACATGGCCTGCACATCCCTACAAATAACACAGGGGTGAGGTGCACATCTGGTTTTCATTTTTCCTGTGAAATGTACGCAGTGGATTGTGTATATTGCGCCATAATAACTTAAAAATCATTCAGTCATCAATTTACACATCTCACCTCTTATGAAGACACTAAGTCGAAATGGTAAAAAAAAAAAAAAAAAAAAAAAACGTGAAATTAGGATCATGTGAAACTGCATGGATAAGATGAAAATGGTGGGGTATTTCTATTTTGGCAGATGTTTCAACGGCTGATGCCAAATCTGAAAGGGCAACAGAAGGAAATGGCCAATTTGATGCTGATTTTGTTTTCTCTTCCTCTGGAATTTTTCTATATATATATATATATATATATATTAAGATATATATGTGTGTGTGTGTGTGTGTGTGAACATGCTCCAATATCTAATCAGGTGACAAGTGTGGAGGTGCTTCATTCATGTACTGTTTTTGAGATATAATGACAAGATGTCTACTGACAGCTACATGCCACTATGACAACATAATGTCCTGCATTCCATTATTATCATAGTGGCGGGGCATAAAAATAGTCTGAACAACTACTGCTGTCCTTTTAATACTCCTTAGAATAACTATGAAAACAGCCACTTCTCCTACCCATACACAACTTTCAAAATTCTGTAACTGATCCTGCCAACAACAAATAAACACAGTCAATGACCTTGGTCATGACACTGAGATCGCAATTACATAACAGGAAGCAGCGGGAACTGAACCGCAGCAGCCAGAATTGTTGTCAAAGCAAAGACTACACTGGTAGGGGACAAGCTTCCTACTTTTAATCCTCTTTGACGAGAAGCTATGTTAGTATAATTAAGACATTTCAGATACCATTGGGTTGAAAAAGACTGCTACCGGACAAACCAACAGTAAGCTGCACTGCAGACTTCTTTTTATCTGTGCACCCATCACAGCGTTTTGCACAGAAGGCCCTTACACTGTGAACATAAACAGTATGACTATGTATAGGCTGAGGCTGGACGTGTCTCACAAACAGGCCTGTTTTTCAAACAGTGGGTTCTCCAGCAGTCTTTCTCACGGATTAAGGCTCATCAGAACCTGGTCAGCCAGAGCCAAATCCCAGTTTGAGTTTATGTGGCTCAACGTCCCAAATAGTTATTACAGAACCACTGTGGCGTTCTAGAGTTTCAGTCAAATGGGCCGTTTGAGGACAGGTTCTGATGCTTCCACTCTCCTGTGCCTTACATCAGGGCCCACGCCAGGGAGAAAGGCCAAAACACTTAGGACTATGCCTCATCTGAATGGCCGAAATGACAGCAGCCGTTAACAGCTACCTGCTTAATCCTCCCAAATTTTTCAAAATTGACGGATGTTGTGGTTTACAGTTCAGTTATGTAACATTATTATTACAATAGCCACAGCCTTGACGAGAGACTGAGCGACAGAGGCCATGAACTGTTAGAGAAGGTGTCTAAACCCAGCAATGAGTGTCACACGGGAGATGAATGGCACACGCACTTTCATCACTGACTAGGCAAATGGCATAGTGAGCATGAACGGCATTCCTCAGAGGTGACTGTCATGGAGTGAAGGGTACATAAGTGGTGTGTGTGTGTGTGTGTGTGTGTGTGTGTGTGTGTGTGTGTGTTCCACTCACCCGTGAGATGGTGAGGGGCAGACAGAAGTCCTTCCCTCCTTGCAGTCTGAAGCCCCAGGGGGCAGGGCCAGCCAGGGAGACACTGTAGTTGCTGCTCATGATTCACCTAGAGACAGGAAAGAGATATTTTAAGCTCGATTGTACATTAACTTGTATTAACAGTGATATAATCCAACAGGAAACAGACTCCACACCGACAGAACAAATATCACAGACACAGAGGAGAATAAATGGAGGAAGAGAATAACAGGGAAAAGAGTATGTAAACAGACGTACAGTAATATACAACTGGTGTGCAGCCAACATTTAGGAAAGATTACTATTTTCAAGGAAGAGCCCTGTAAACTACCAATTATGCTTAACCAAAACAGAAGCATTCCTCTGATGAGCCTACATCTAGGAGGTATGCCACTGCTCGTTCCACTGCTGTTTGAAATAGTCCGCTATTTTCTGAAACACTCGTAATATTCACTCCTAAGATTCTACAGTCTAAATTCAAGCACAACAGTCTATTGATAGTCCTCTACTGATGCTGCTGGCTCTCCGCTGACAGCTTCAGAGCCACCCCCAGGTCAAAAGGCAATGCCATTAACAATAGTAAGCCTGTAATGTATGATGTACAGTATATCCTCTCAAAAGCTAGGGGACAGATATACTGGACAGGCAAACAAAGAAGTATGAGATAACCTATAGGGAGGTGTGCATTGCAGGATTTACTATGCAACAGGAAGTCAAACCCAGTGAGAGAGGGTTAAGATAATTTTGATGCACACCTGATGAATGAATGCATTAGTCCACTGTACCATTGTCATTTGAAAAAAAGCACCCATTTTTATTAAACTTTTTTTAGAGCAAATAGGCATTACATTGTGTCGATGCACATCCTCCTACACGGGGGCTTGTAATAGGCCACAGCAGTTAGCATGCAAGCACTGACAATCCCTTTGTTTACCTTAAAAGATCCTCAGATCAGCAGTTCTGGAGATGGACTTTGGACCTATCAGTGTCCACACTGAACCTGCTGCTTGTGGATAAACATGGTCTGATACTATATGCCAGCCTATTGTAGATTAGCAGTGGTACATCTTTACACAAAGGCAAACAAAGCTATATATAGTCACACTGTCCTCATACATACAATACATAGGGAGTTCTCTCCTTTTTTGGTATACAGCTTACCAATAAGACATTGTCTAGTGAACAGCCCTGCACCTTATCATTCTCAACACTCATTCCTGGGGTTAGGAAATGGTCATTAAGAGACTGAAACCTTGGTTTATTAAATATCTTGTATGCCTCTTGCTAAAAACCCATGTTAATACCTAGCATGTAACAGAGGGAGCATTGGCCTTCCCTCAGGCAATTGTGATGCTGATGGGCCTGCGTAGGTAATTGTACAATTTAAGGTTTCAATGGAGGGCAGGTTTAACCTTCCATTTCCATAATTGTCATTAACGTCTCAATTCCTAAACACACCATCATCTACATTACCTCATGGATGGATAAAAATACCATATCCTGACTGTACATGCGTGCATTCAAATTAAATGGACAGTTCCAAAAGTGAGACACAGCAAAGACTATTTGGTGCAGTAAAATATTTCATGCACTATTGAGTTTCACTGGTTTAAGCCTTGCCTGTCATGCATTCCTTTTCCATTGAAAAATTGAAGCTGTAAGCTATTTATTGGAAGCGAGAATGAGGTTAAGTGCAGTCACATGTTAAAATTTAGTGCATTATTAAATTTATTAGGTTGGTGATTGAGGAAATTGGTATACCATATTTGCAGAATACACTTTACTCTCTGGTCTGGTATGAGTATTCAGCGAACAGGCTGGCTAATGAATGAGCCTGTGAGCACAGGTTCAGAAAAAAAACTGACCTGAACATGGGAGTTTTAAACTGTAATGCTGATGACAGACATTTGAATATCTGCCCTTTTATTTCTGGCTTTGATGAAGAGGATTTCACTTTTACAAAGTACATAATCCATGGCTGGAAGAACATGTGTGAATGTGGATTTTTTAAACACAGCAATTAAATGTTTCACTGCCTGCTTTGAAAAAGCGCATAAGAAAAAATAACATTCACCCATTGGTGCGCTGGACAGTTCAGAGAAAACATACTTTTCTGTTGAGTATTTCATGAACAATAATGCCTTGTCATCCAAGAGGCATGTCATTTTGAGGTTGTAAGTCATGCTGCCTTCACAAATTCCCTCAGGGACGCAGCACCACCTGCTGCAGCCCATCACCTGGTCAGATGTACGAGACACACACATCAAATCAGAGGGTTGGCCTACACACGCTGTCTCACCATCACGCCTGGAGGGGGGACAGGCTCTTTAAAGGAGCGAACGGAGGAGCCACAAAAGGTTGTGGGGAGGTGGGGAGAAGAAATAAAATCACGTGTGAAAGTGATAGGGAGGAGGTGGATACCTGGAAAGCACGGAGCACATAGCTCACACACACTTTCACAATCAAACTAATACATCCAAACACAAATACAGACACGCACACATGCAGAATATGCAAGTCTATAATAAGACAGCAACCAATTGAAGACAGCTGTCTCCCTCTTCAAGGTGACCTAGCATTGAGGTGAGCCAAGATGTTCATTTTTAGGGAAAATTACAAGGCCTGAAACCATATTTTGACAAGATAAGAAATCATCCCAAAAAACCTCCAGCATTATTTGAGAAACATATATGTAAAGATGTATAATTATCTGTTGTAACAGTGGTTAAAAAGTAACAGTGAACAAATATTTACAATGTTTAAGCACAAAAAAAAGTGCCATACTAAATTTAACATTCTTTACTGCAACCCAGCAAACTCACCAACAATGCTTCACAAACAAAGTCATGAAATCAGCTTATGTCCTAACCTCAATATAAGGAACTCAATGACATCTTTCACACTGTTGCAAGTTTTGTTTACCATTTCATTAGAGTCTATGCCTCTGAACTGGGAACAGTGACACAAGACAAAAGGGACATACTGTACGTTTTATATGCAAACATCTTTAAGCCAAAAGTCATCCATGACGAACAACCCTCAAGGAATACACAGTGTTGGATAGATCTATTACAACTATGTCAGTTGTTCACAACAGATTCTTTCAGTATTAGCTTTCACAGCCAACTTGGACATCACAGTAAAATACTGATGCCGAAATTCAGATCATGTTCAAATCACACTAAACGCACACATCAGTAGCATTTCTTTCCCTAATATGGAAAGAACAAACATTAGGCTCATCTCATGCCCCTGCTTGTTTTGCAATCACTCATGATATCATGCATAGACATGAGCAGACACACCTTACAGTGTTCCCAAACTGTTGATACCTGCACAAAGCATTTTATCACCAGCACCCACATCAACCCTCCTCTAAGTTAGCTGGAGCAGCATTCTGTTCATTTTCCACTTTGGCCTTATCTCTTTCAAGTTCCTGTCATAATGGCACTTTACTGTGCAAGATATTTCAGCACTTTCACACCAAAAAACAAAATGAAAACACAATCTTTTCAGCACAGCACAAAGGCGACCTTCTTAAGTTATCTATAATCTCAGACATTTATATGTTCTTGTAGTAGATGTTATTTTAACTTGCGCCATCTAATAGGCTAGCCACATAATCTGATACTGAATTTAAATGTTAAAATTGGGTAACATGCTTTAATAAGAAAAACACTTCAAAAATTAAAACTCCCCAGACAGTAGAAAAGCTTCCTTAATTAGGAATCAAAAACGGGTCAACAGATTTGTATATTAGTGCCATTTACTGGCCTGACCTGGATGCCCTTTCCACTGCATGTGTCAAACTACAGTCCTGCTGAATCATATTTCCATCAAGTAATCTTTAGGTACTGGGAAGTGTCTTTTTCCCCGAGTGTATGACTTGTCTCCTCAGAATTTCAGACGTCAACCTTTCCTTTTCACAATGCTCGAGGAGACAATGTTGCCTGGTGACATCATTTCAGGACCTGTTGACTCAGAGTGGAGCATGTTTTCCCAACGCACTGTGTCTCACAAGTGTGGATATTATTTGTCAATATCCAAATTAAATTTTTAATGAACAAACAGCTCAAATGATAATTGTTTTTGTTTGACTACACCAACTTCAAACCTAAAAAGGCTTGTTGACTCTAAAATGTAAGGTTTAGTATCTTTACCCTGGCAGTTGTCTGTGGGACAACTTGTTCCAACCTGACTTTATGATACACTTCTTGTACCAAGGCTGATTACACATGTTTGGTCTAAAGCAACAGTTCCTGAAAGACGTGACACATTCACTATACCTATAACAAAGTTTTTTTTTTTTTTTTTTTCAAACACATTCTTTTAATTATAATTAAATTAAGTATGACCTCAGAGTGTTGTAAGTCAAGTTAAATATGTTGTAATACCCTAATATAAGGTTTTAGCCTCAGTTATAGAGGCAGCCTTGTAACTGTCCTCTCTCATGTGTTTACAGGGGAGGACGCACAGTAGCTGTCTGTACTATCCGGCTGTCTTTTCTCACGGAAACTGAATTAATTGTGTTGCCTCAGTGGGTGTGACATAAAGCACATGCATGACATTATTACTGCATTTTTGTGGCGGTTTTTGTATCCCACTTGTCACAGCTTAAAAGGACAAGCCACTAAAACAGATGTGTAACTCAGACAGAAGCAGTATGATAAATGTGTTTGTGTAGCGCAAAGTTATAAACTCGCCACATATTTCGATATTCTTGTGTTTCCTTTAATTGAAACTTTGTAACAGCAACGCAAAGCAGTAAAATGATAACGGTAACACGAGCAGCAACTTTCCCCGTATTCCTATTTAAAAAGGTTTTTTTTGTAAGGTAGCCTACTGTACAGTACTCACCTTGCCTTGTGAAGCCGGGTCTGGTGTTCAGAGAGAGAGAAGCGTGACTTTAGTCCGTCTGCTCTCAGTTTCGGAGTTTACTGGACTGAGCGGAACTGAAACTTCCGCATATAAGCCAGCCCCATCTGGCTGCCGGTAGGAGGGTTCACACTTCACAGTAGTCAGTGTGTGTGTGTGTGTGTGTGTGTGTGTGTGTGTGTGTGTGTGTGTGTGTGTGTGTGAGGTGGTTGAGTGAAGCCCACACAGCTGCAGGCAGGGGCTTGCCACACGGTGAGACAGTGCAGGTGAGTTCAAGTCGAGCAAACAGCCAAGAAAGGTGCCGTTTAGCTTCACTGTAGCAGTGTCAGTGCTAACGTTAAGCACAAGCTGACTTAGTCGACCACATTTAATCTGGCCACTTTATGCAAAACGCTTCAAATCACTACCTTACAATGTATGCAAGTTGGTAAACCCTCCCTAGCTGTTCATACATAGGATTTTTGCTGGTGTTGTCTAGTCTAACAAGGCCTAGCTGGAATCGCATCGCCATTCATTTCTTTTACATTGGACATTGGAGTTGGAAACTGTTTTCAGACACTGAATGAAATGGACAACATTATCACTGTTTCTGCGATATTTTATTAGAAGACTGATATATGCAGCAGGAACACAATTCATTTCATAGTGATGCGCATACATACGATTTCTAACTGTTTCCCAAGGTTTTTATCTTTTAGGTTGTTGTTTTTTTTAGAAATATAAGCTTTCCCTTTTATATGTGAACATACAAAACGAATGAACATTAATTCAGAAATATTAAGTTTTAAATAAATTTTTTTTACACAATGGAATCGGTACTGATTGCCTAAACCCAGAGATGTTCCTGTCATTTAACTTGTGTAACAGCTGAATATATAATTACTATGTAGCTACAGTATGTAAACTCTTGAATATGCTCTTCACAAATTATAGCTTCTCTGGAAACTCTCAAAATCACTACTTGTGCCACCATGTTCATTGAAACCTTCCTGAATGATTTGTTTGGAAGTCTTTCTGAATTATATTTGGTCTTAAAAAGATCCAATAAAAATGTTATATATGGATTTGATTAAGCTTGCGTTAAAATCAAGGAGTTAAACATGTTTGCATTGATATTTTTGAGTCAAAGAAAGCTGTCATCCGTGAAGTAAACTGGTGTGTAAATAAAAAAACGGAACAAATATTGGTGACTTATACTTATGTATTTAAAGTATTATGTGATTCTTGTATGACTTGGTTGCTATAATAGTACAAATTCCCTATCTATCTATCTATCTATCTATTTATCTATCTGTCTGTTTATTACTGTTGGGATTGAGGTTGTCACAATACCAGAATGTTAAACTTCAATACAATACTATTAAAAAACAATAGTCAATACCTCTTTCAATACCACAGCAAAAACAAGAAAAAGTCCTTGGCACACAAAATTTAATAAAATAAATGTGTTTTTTTCCTTTCTTTTAAAGTCAACCTGCACAGAGTGCTGGTACAGAAAAAGTCACTGAAAATATAACAACACATTTGTGATAATATACAGTAAGTAAGATTGCTACTGATTGAGGACCAGTTGATTCTCCATTGTGCGGCCTTGGGTCGAAAATCCAAATGTAAATCTGTGTTTTTAATACAGTTTTGGTACTTTTGTTTCTTTTGAATAGTAGTATAGTGTTAAACATGGATGGTACTGAAGTATTGATACTTTTGACAACCTTAGTTGGAATTATTCATTCTTTGGCTAGAGGGTGTAATAAACTGTACAGATTATAAAGACCGTTGTGGCTTGTTTGTGATTTTCGGTTGCATAAGATCAATTTAACATGTTTTGATTTTAGACAGATTCCCTGTAAAACCTTTTGCTATGTTGTTAGGTTTTTAATCATTATTATTTATTTTCCATTATACACTTACTGTGGTATGGCAGTGAAGCAGGTTTCAGTGTTTAACCAGATTTGAATGGCATAGTGTTGTTATGCTCTCTAGTGGTCAGCTAAGAAAGTACATGGGTCACGGTCCATGCAGACTGCGGGTTAATAGCCACTGTGCAATCTATGGCCTGGGGATAGGGAGTGTATTGTGAATCCTGCAAGCGGCCAGGTTCATACCTAAGGATATGTCACTTATCTTGTTGTCATGTTTCTTGTGTACCAATGGCACTAGCCCAAGGCTGTGGTTTTCATATAGTCATCTCAAGGCAGTGAAGACAAAAAGCTATACGACTGAAAATGTAAGTTCTGACCTTTTAAAAGTTTTAATAAAAGCAAAAAGAAATATTGATAGTAAGGTGAGTCATTCACCAGTGTTTGCTACATTCCTGGCTTCACTATGTTTTTTTTTCTTAAGTTGTTGCTGTATCTTCACTGAGCTCTGGTCACCAACTCATGGTTCTCCGCACAGCAACAATATATGGCTCAAAATATCCGAATATAATTAATTTTTGAATGTAAAATTAGATTACTTTTCCATACAATTTCCTATAGATATTCGTGGTCCCCTTGACCCTGTCTAGGCCAATGTTTACAGGTGTACAGAAAAAATATTAAACACTAACAGATGTTGAAATGATTAAACAATATGCTAAGCAGTAAATGCAGATTAGTTATGTAACTGATAAGCCACTCGACAGAAAAATTATTGGAAACTATTTTCATAATCGAAGAATTGTTTGTCCTTTTTTAAGCAATTTGTTAAAAATCATTCCCTAGTTCCAGCTATTTGAATGATCACCTTGGACTGTGGAAAATTGTAACATATATTTTCACAATTTTGGGACATTTTATCAACAAGACGATTACAGACTGATCAAGAAAATAATCGGCAGATTAATAATGAAGCAGTGAAGCAGTGCCGGTTAGGTAGGAAATCAATAGGTCTGGCAGTAGTAGGGGAACATCCTTATTAGTTTTGGTCTGTATATTAGATGACATGTATGGACATTTTCATGTACACAAAGATCCAACGTGTAACAGTTAGGAGGATATATTTCCAGAAATGGAATATAATGTTCATAGGTTTGTTTTTATTAGTATATAATGATTTGAAAATAAGAATTGTGTTTTCATTACCTTAGAATGAGCCATGTTGAATGGCCATGTTTGTTTTGTAGCCCCAGGCAGGAAGGCTGAGCTGTATTCAAATGGTTGCAATCTGCAATTTCACCAGTAGATGCCACTGAATCCTACATGTCTTATGTGTCAGCAGTGTAAAATGTTTCTTTAGACTTTATAATCACAGTGCTGTTTCACACTATTTTAGTGGACAAGACCTTCCAAGTTTTATTACTAATTTATTTATATGAATGAATATTACTTTGTAACACTGTCTTAAACTGACTTTTTTAAGGAAATCACAGTACTGTCTAATTCAGCTCTCTGATGGGTGGAGAGGCAACATTTAGTCGATTAATCAATTATTTGTCAACTATCAAATCATTTTCCAAATAATTTGGTGATCGATTAATTGTTTTGAGTCATCTTTTAAGGAATAAATGACAAATTCTCTCATTTCAGCTTCTCAAATTTAAATATTTTCTCATTTCTTTAGTTTCTAGGAAAGTAAACTGGATATCTTAGGGTTGTGACATTTGAGGACATTATCTTGTGCTTTAGGAAACGGTGATCATACTAACCAGTGGTTCTGTTCCATTCAGGTCACACAGAGTCAGGGTGCTGCTATTGTGCATGTAGGAAAGTCCTGCTGGAATCATTGTTAACACATGTGTTTACCCTACTATTTCATGTCAAGAAGGCAGCTATGAAAAAAGTCTATTGAATAACCATGCATTGATTTATTTGACATGCTAAAGGGCATGGCCTATTTTACAGGTTACCGTTAATTGTTGTTTGCATTCTGCTGCGCAGGTCCACTGGGCTTTCTTTCAGCTTGTGTGCCATGTCAATATATGGTTATAAACTGATGGAAAACCCAGCAGCGAAATCCCCCTGTGCAATACTATTGAGCCACTGAAGCGTATAGTCTTTATGTAACTGGATAAGCAAACCACTCAGGAAATCCTGGATTTAAAGTTCAAAGAGGTTTTATGGTTGTTTGAATTTGAAGGAAGAACACACTTTAAGTGTCAGGCAACTATACCATGTGATTATATGAGCATATTAGTGAAAATAAAAAAAAAAGATGCATAATAATGTAATGTAGTGCAACAACCCCCTGCTGACAGTCATTCAACAGATCTGTAATTTTAATAGACTTTATCCTGGTGGCTCAGATGGTCAGAGCACATGTATTGTGTGTCCTGGTTTTAAATCCAACATGGGACAACTGTTAGATGTCATCCCCTTCTGTCAGTCTTTAACACTTTTTTAACACATATTTTTTTCTGAAAGATGTCACATATGATAAATAAATTGTACTACTAATTCTGAAAGGCTATGTTCATAATACAGGTGCTATAATGCATGTATAAAACATTATGCATATATATTCCATTATTAATATTTATGTATAAAGCCTTTATATCAAAGTTGATTATGTGTAAGTCGTTGATCATAATACTTCATAACACCACAGGCAAATTATTTTCTTTTACGCTTTTGTTTAAAGTGAAAGAAATCATATCGGCTTTTGTGGTCCATGATGTGGTAAAGTCATAAAAAGAATATTATTTGAAAGTTCTTAAGAAGATTGTGCAGAAAAATGTGTTGAAAACCAAATGAAAAGTTTATTTCCCACCACAAATAAACACATGAAAAGATGAACAGTAGCACCGAGGACAACAAATACTGCATATTCAAGAAGTAAATGGTTCAGTGATTACTGCTGTGCCAATAAAGTTCCTGAGAACACGCAGCATTACTCCTTTTTATAAAATTATAATTCATACAAATGATGACAATGATCAGGTGATTTATATGATAAATTGAGAGTGTTGAGTGTCTTTATGACTTGCCAGCAAATATGTTATATGTTTCCAATGAAGCTGAATTGAATGTCTTAGATTGTATAACGCAAGTTCCTGAACTCAGTGCATAATGTCAGTAACTTACAAAACATCGTACTGATTATGATAATGAGTTCTGCTGTGGCTTTCACATGAAAGAGTAACCAAATCCTCTCATTGGGCATTTAAATGACCAGGTTGGTAGCAAGTCTTAGTTGCAAAGTAAACAATTGTATGAAATCAGGTTCCTCAAAGAATACATAAGAAACCTTCCAAAAACGAGTGTCTTTGGCCTTTAAACAACAAGCTAATAATACATCTGGTTGATCTTTAATTGTTATTAATATACAGTTGATTTTTGGCTTTTTTGACAAAAGCACATACTGTTTTGAACTCAATTTCTAAAGGTCCTTTACATTTTTGGTATATTTAATTGATTTAATTGTCATAGTGTTACTACTGAGAACTTGCCTTTAAAAGGACCAACGTGTAATATTTTGTGATATCTAGTGGTTAATTTGCAGAATGCACTCAACTGATTAGCGAGCGCGTAGGAAAAAACATGGTGGCCGCAAAGAAAAGGCCCTATCTGAGGCCAGTGTTTGGTTTGTGCATTCTGGGCTACTGTAGAAACATGGCGGTTCGACATGGCAGCCTCCATAGCAGAAGTACCGCTCCCTCTGTAGATAAAAACATCTCATTCTAAGGTAACAAAGACACAACAATTTTTATGATCAGGTGATTGTACACTAATGAAAACACACCTATGAATATTATATCCCATTTCTCCAAATAGATCCTTTTAAACAACACACATTCAAGATTTAACAAAAACAAGGGTACGTTATTTCGTACAGTTGCACAAAAACCTAGAAACAAATGTATTTGGTTACACTTCATGGCAAAACAGTTGAAATTAAAGTTTTAACAGCTTCTTGAGAAGATTATCTAACATACAAAAAAAAATCAGTTTACTCTGCCATGTCACAGTAGCACATAGCCGTATAGATAAATAAACATATTTAACATTTAGCTTCCTGGTGTTGGAGAGAGAAATCTTTGAGCAGAACAGTCCAGAGTCTGTAAATCAAGCAACAGCTCTCTCTGTCTGCTCTGCGTTCTTTGTTGTTCCTCACAATAGCTGTGGTCCTGAAGGCCTTTTGTTGAGCAAGGTCTGATGATTGCTTGGGAGTGCACACGTACAATATTATCCAGACAATCAGGCTGGAAGAGGACATGCGAATCCTTCTCATCTCTCTTCTTCTCTGCTTGCTGTTCCTCCCTCTGTTCATGTTCGCCCTCTTTCTTTTGCTCATCGTCCTGTTTCTTCTTTTCATTCCAGTTGTCAGGATTGTCCTTCATTCTCCTCCCCCAGGCTGAGAGCATTACTGGCACAGGCGATAGGTTGTGGTCACAACTGTTCAGTGAGCCTGGCTCTGGGATGGGAGTCTAGAACAAAATTTAGATAAAATACAAAAGTATGTTGTTACATTTTGTCTGAAAACATGGTCATAGCGACATGTTAGGCCTTTAAAGTTACTTTGAATTGCTTTTTAAATAAACAAATACATTGATGAGCACCTACCTTACCTGTTCCTGGCTATGGCTTCTCTTTCCCTTGGTCTGCTTGGCCAATGAGTTGTACTCTTTGTCCCTCAGAGTTCCAAGGGAATAGCTGGATCTCAGACAATGGCCCATAGGGTCCAGCTCCACATCACTCCACAACTGCCGCAAGGGATATGCGCATTAATTATGTCAATTAAGGTAAGAATTTACTATTGTGACTCTTATGATATCTTATATTCACTTCATAATTGTGGGTCTACTAGAAAATAACACTACAATGAATGGCTGAGTAAGTAGTTAGTACATCTTCTGAAAACAATTGAGACTATCTTAGTAATTATTGATTGTTTCCGAGGTATAGACACACCTAGCAAACCCAGCAGTAAATATTCACTGAAGGTGAGAAGAATGTTTATTTCACATTTGAGCCTCTGCCATTGCTGAACAGTTTTTATGGCTTCTTTTGGGTAGTAAATATACATTTCCAAAAATCCTAGCACAAAAGTTAAACTCACTGTGTCTGTTGTAGACATAGAGGAAACTCTGTGAAACTTGGTTTTGGAAATTGATGACTGTCTGCTCAGCATTGAGTCCCTGAAGGAGGACTCGCTGTGTGACACTGATATGCAGTCCCTCTTGGGGGCTTGGGACAGGAAGTGCAGACATGGAACTTTTTCTGCCAGGGTGTCTCTGTTGAAAAAATAATAACTAGTGAAACTTCTTTACTATTTTCAAGCTTGGGTTACTGATAAGTTGGGAGACTGCACTCACCTGTATTTCGAGTGAATAATGGCATAGATAAAAGGGTTGTAGATGGCCGAGGCCTTGGCTATAACAGCAGGGACCGCTTTGGAATAGGGATTGAGGAGGCTTGCATATCTGAAAAGTGTAAAGAGTAGAACTGTACATCACCTGTGACAGCAATGCTTCTGTAGTTTTAATCTGTTGCATAGCATTTCATCATGCCAAAAGAAAATCATATTCTAGAAGAGGCTTATGATTAATGGCTGAAATGAATTACACAGTGCAAGGAAGCATCTTATATGTTTTATGTTTTATGCCAGGGTCTACCAAGCTGTAGTTAAACAAATGCAGTTATTAAAACAAATGAGTGGACCATAAAGAGTCCTTGTCATACTGTATATTTACCCAGCCCAGGCGATGAGAGTGACGCATGCATAGGGCGACCAGGAAAGAACAAATACTATGATGACCACAAAGGCAATCTTGGCCAGCTTCCATTCAGTCTTGATGGACTGCTGCTGGATCAGGGTCGACTTCCTCACCTGGGACCCCAACTTCTCCACATCTCTGTTAGGACAGAGGGAAAGAATAAAGAACATTTGAAGCCAGGTAAGTCTATTCAGACACTAAATGAATTCAATATCATGTTTGCAGACAGTGTAGCCCAGAGTTACACGCCTGTCATTCACGGTAATTGTATGTGTGTGTGTGTGTGTGTGTGTGTGTGTGTGTGTGTGTGTGTGTGTGTGTGTGTGTGTGTGTGTGTGTGTGTGTGTGTGTGCTTCACCTGTGTGTGGTGGGTAATTTATATCACCTGCGCTCCTGCTTGTTATCAGAGAGGGAGTAGGGAGCTATTATTTTCTTTTTAACACTATCTTTTGTCCAGTTTTGCCGCATTGCATTATACAGATTATCTTATAAGGTAAAGCTGTTGTTGGGTTCTTGGGTTCAGGTGTTTGAAGTGACTGCAACTTATTTGAAGGATACAGCCTACAGAGTTGTAGCCTTCAACAAATCACAACAACTGAGATGGCAATGTTAGCCTTATGGAGACATTGCTTTCATATTTTAAGTCAACATATTAAGTTGCCCTTAAGGTAAATACTAGGTTAAGGTTAATTTCATAGTTATTTGGTTGTGACCTCCAAGTTCACCCCTGAATTGAAATGTGTAACAGCTACAGACATAGTACATGGAAGGGGGAAAAAAACAATATACACGTGTGCACAAAGATAAACTAGAAAAGGGAAGAACTAGAGGGAAATGAGAGCGATGCAGATACCACCATCACAATATATAACATGCTTGCAGTTACATTTAACTAATTCTATTGCAGTAACGCTGTGTGTGACCCTATTGTGATGTCACCCATTGGTTTGTGGAGTACCACTTGGAAGCTTTGAGTTTGGCATTATGGCTGTTGCCATGTTGGTTTTTTGGAGCCAAAAAATCAAGTGGAAGTAGGGTCATTACTCTATAAGGCTCAGTTCTATTGGACTTCTTTTTTGCAGGCCATGGAGCTACCCCCTGCTGGCCATTGGAAAGAATGCAGGTTCAAGACACTTTGTGTTGGGTTCACTTCACAGACCCAGAAGCTCTGTGCACTACTTATATACTGTCAATATCTGAAATACATTAAAGTAGATTGTTGATGTAAAGATGTGACAATACATTCTTCCCTTTGATGGTATGATGCTTTTTTTCATAAAGATATTAAATAATCTTGCAGAATTTCAATTATTTCCAAAGTGTTTAGTGCATAAAAACATAAATGTATTCACCTGCTTGCTTGGCGGATTGCCAGGAACATGCACAGATAACAGTAGGATATAATGCCCAGAGGGATGAAGAATACAAAGCAGCATAACATCAAAGTATAACTTTTGTTGGCAGGAGTAGATGTCACGTAATCCCATGTGCATGAGGTCATCAGGCCCTCTGGGATATATGAACCTTGAGAAAAATGACAAAGACAAATGAGAGGAGACTGTAAAGGGTCTAAAAGTATAAAAAGAGGGTAGTTGAATAAAAAGAGTAAAGAGGTGAGAGAATAAGTCACTTACTCCACCCCAAAAGTGGTGCAAGACTCCAAGCTAGTGAGTACAGCCAGACCAGGGCGATAATGAGGCAAGTGCGTCGTTTGGAGGTCCACCGAATGGCCTGCAGAGGCTTGGTGATGACAATGTAGCGGTCTAAAGAGATGGCCAGAAGGTTTATCATGGAAGTGATTCCGAATAAAGCTCCACAAAAGGCATACATTTTACAGCCTATGGAGAAAAAAGAAAGAAGAAAGGACTTCATTATTACATTTCTTCTTATGATTGGAAGACTATACAGTAATACAGTTGGTCAATTTTAACACTATTCATATTGCCAGGGTTTTGGCGTCAGGTCAATTAGAATCAGGTGGGTTGTCCTAGGTAAAGAGAAAAAAAAGATCTAAATGCTATTATCCTATTCCCCGCATACATTCATAACGGTTAAACATATTAACAGAAGATTCTAACATAACATATATGCAGCATCCTGAGACTGTAAAAAGCCTATCTCGTATTGCATGGAAGAAACTGATACATTTAATTTTAGTGCCATAAAAACACAGCCCAGAAACATAAATGGTTACTATATTTCATACATAGTTCCATACATAAACATGGTTAGATAAATGATGTGTCTTTTTTGACATAACATGTGTAATGAATGTTAAAAAAGTACCTGTTTCACCAAAAATCCACCCTTTGTAAAGGGAGTTAACAAAGAAGATAGGTGACTGTGTAATTGCCATGAGGAAGTCACTGATTGCCAGGTTCATGATGAAATAGTTGGGGGGAGTCCGTAGCTTCTTGTTACTGAAACACATGAAGATTGAAAAGACTCAAATTCAAAGTTCTCAGTGTCCCACAAAATAATATGTTGTTGTTGACACATAAGTAACAGAGGCAGTTGAAGATCTACAGCACAAACATGGCCTTTCAGCAGTCTGTGTATTTGTTGTATTGAGTTGACGGTTATATGTTCAGACAATTTGTTGTAGACGCTATCATAGGAAACTAATACGATGTTATTCTACTTTGTAAGTAAACTACACACGTTAAGATAAATTCTAAGATTGTATTTAAAATATATTTTACATTTCTGGCTGTGAATTGAAATCCAGAGGGGGGTTTCATTACAATTAGAGACTTATTGTTTTGGAAGGTTGTTTTTTAAATTACCCCAGAATTGGGTGCAGGCATCTAGATGGAGGAGGATTCATACCCTGGCCAGTACAATAGCCATCCAATAACTCTCAAATCCACATCTGAACTTCATTCCATCTCCTTTACCATAGCAGGCAGGGGAATGGAAATCAATAACAACGGTACATCCAAACACTCACTTTCAATAATACTGTCGTTCTAATGCTAATGTTCTCTCTTAAGACAAGTTTAGATCAAAGATTGATGAAAGATGCAAGAGTGCGTCTTTTAGTCTAACAGGATCATGAGTAAACACATTAATATTGTCCACTAAATATGAAATGGAGGAACACAAGCACGTATTCAATACTATCAGACTATCTAATGCACTCCCTTATTGAGTTATTGTGGCAAAGACAATGACTTGTTTTCTTGTTGTGTTAACAGTTGTAAGGAAGAAGAATCAGTCAAAGCAGACACTGCATAACTAGAGGTGAGAAAGCCAATTATAAATGACCTTTAAATTGGGTTCCTTTGTTAGGAAGACAATAGGCAAACACCAAAAGCCAAATGCCAAGAAGGTACAATATCCCAAAAGATCCAAACAGTATTGATATTATATTTGCTTATTGACTCCAACACAAGCTGCAGGCAGAGATTTATATAGTCTTCCAAAACATCTTTGTGTCTCCCACAAATGAACAAGAAGAACAATACAGCACGTTTTTTTTTATTTGGTGCTAAGACTGTGTACAAGTTCACAAACAGAGCTGAATTGCACTGCAACATGACATTTGTGTGCCATTTAAAGCTTTATTCCTGAAAGCAAGGTCTTGTAACTAAAGTCAGTTCTGTCCTGGTAACTTTGCCCTTCTCTGTTGTCCAAAAGAGAAACTCAACAGACACAACATGCCGCCGAAACACCTGCACATCCACGAATCCATCCTTTCTCAGCTAACAAGGACTGTGTTAACAAAATATGTTGCTATTCACTGTCTCCCTTCATGAAACCTGTGATACACATTTACACGTACATGTAAAGTTTATGAACAATAATGAGCACAGAACTAGCTGTCCATGCGTGGCCCACAGCAGATGTAGACAGTTCTTTTTCTGAGGCTGCGACTGGGCACAGACGGTCATGTTGTAGTGCATGGTAATGGTGTGTCCTTGATAACCTTCTGTTAACATGCCATAGCTCACTGCACACACCTACACCTCAGATTAATTGGCAACCTAATGCTTTCATTACGCTCAAACAAGACCCTAGAAACAGCGCGGGGGTTGAGGGATACAGGTGTGTGAAATCTAAAGATCACCTAAATCCAGTTCTAGCTTTATAGCAGGCTTTGATGTCTTTCATCTGCAAAATGTCAGAGTAGTCTGTGTCAGTGAGCATTTTACACTCACATTATACTTACTGTCAGATAAAAGCTATCAGGAGTAGGGACACAGATGAAGGCTGAATATTTGTTCCAACTAAATTGAGAACAATGATATTATATGCTTCCTCGTTCTGGATGACTTAATCGTACACCAGTGTTCATATAGTGCCTTTAACTGTTTAGCTCCATGTATCAGGAGTGTTGTGTTTGTGTGTCTCCATGCAGATGAGTGGGTTTGTACTGAGCAAGTGTGACTGGAGTAGAAATCGAGTGATGCAACATTTGAAGATAGCTGTGTGTAGATGTGTATCACTGGAGATTGGACCTTAATGCAAAAAACATGTCTGGCCCAGGATTTTATCTAACACTTGGCTCTTCACTGCATTCAGTGGAATACTATATACCCAGGAGTATAATACTCAGGTATACTAGACACCCAGGAGTAGCCATAGTGTACATACTGTATGCAACATGCACACCGTTCTATATAGTGTATTAACTAAGGAGTCTTTTGTTTTTATTGCAGGCTTACAGACACACGTATCTACTGACTACTTTTAAATTAAATTTGTGCCCTGTGTGCAACGTAATACTGTTTTGTGGTGCACTTGTCCTCTGTATAGTCTGAATGAAATAGTAAAAGTTTATCTTGATTTGAATCTTCTTCAGGTTTTGAAGTGAAGGCTGTCTTGGGTTTCTTTTTGGCTGGGAAATACTGAGGTGGGGAAGATACATTGTAGGCTACAGACACATTTTTCCTCTACTCTAGTTGAGAATCTTGTTCCAGTTTCTGACGTAAGTGTATAGTGGGACACATAGTAGTTAAATGGATTACCCTGAGCTTCAGTACTGTTATTTAAGCTTAATGCAGTTTAGGTGGTAGCACAGGGATGACTGTGCATAAATAAGGGAATAGCATAACTGAATTATTGAATTTATACATTGATTTATCCAGTACAGTTAGAAAATCACTGAGCTGCTTCCTGATGTTGAATGCCTGCAGGCTGCTGTGAAGACCTCTCTGCCTGTGCTTGTGACATCTGTGCTTCCCAGCGCTCAGTGCTCTAAATCTCTGCCAAGCACCGCAGAGTGTTCTGTACATGGGTGAAATTCAATCGCATTAACTACTTAAAGTGAGTTTGTTTTGCTCCTCTACAAATTAGGCACTGCTATATGACCTTTAGTTAGTCACCCTTTTTGAAATTCCATAGATTAATATATTTCATTTGATTATTATAGAGGTGATTTTATTTTAATCCAGTCAGATAACTCAAATATGTTATTTGATATTATAATATGCAATGGAAAGGTAACTGAGTACATTTACTCAAGTACTGTACTTAAGTCACTTAAGGTCAGAAAAAATGGAACCGGTTGCTGAAGGTCGTGAGCCGGCTGCGGAGCTCCGCTGCGTGGCACACTCTGTCTGAACAGCCCAACTGGGGGCCATATTGGCTATTGTTATCTCAAAAATGCTGATGAACGGTTTGGATATAAATTGTTGGGCTAATTAGTAGTGAATTATGATTTTAAAAGTAGCAAAGAAGAAGAAGAAGATTACATAATGTAATGCATACTACCCAAAGAAAGTACCCAAAAAATGACTTAATTAAAGTGAGTAGTTGTTACTTTCACCCATGTTTATAGATTAATCTAAGTACAGTATATAGTTCTTAAAATTAGCTGTATGTCAATTTTTTCGATAATACTACTCTACTTAGGTAAAGTTTTGAATGCCGTACTGGTAACAGATTAGGTTTACAGTGATATACTGCTACTTTTACTTGAGTAAAAGATCTGAAGACTTCTTCCACCTCACATAATATGCCTCCAAAGGGGCCGTTTAATGTGTGATGATTAACAGAACAGTCCTCAGGCAAACAGCCTCTGTGAACTCACTTGTTTTTTAGTTCTACCAGAACTTGTACAGTAGAGCACAATGCCCCTACAGTCCACATGTACCCTTCCCTCCTGATTTCTCATAATTTGTTCTTAGAAATGTGATGGGCTAATCAAGGCTTGTTACAGTGTCAAATATGGGTGCACCATACTGAGGATGGGAATGTACACTCTAAATCTCTAAATCTTGGAGAATAACTCAAAGTCAGCAGGCTGTGTTGTGCAAGCAGTGGGTCAGCATCATTATTCTTCACTTCCTGTTCATGCAGTGTATGGTTTTCCCATGAAATTCATTAACATGTTTTCAGTGTATCAGTACACATCAACCTAGCTCAAAAGTGTGATTAATGTTGAGGGAGACATGGCCAAAATAAGGCTTTGTATTACATCTTAATTATAGAAAAACTGAAACAATACTGCTTAGTTTTATTATTTTTTTTGAAGGCTGTAATCAGGCCTTGAGGTGTGAAATGAAGAATAATGATTTAAAAAAAGTATTTTTTTTAGGTTTAAAGTAAACATTTCCAGTACAGTTATTTGGCAATAGAAATTGCTAATAACTTACAACTGGCTTCATAATGCAGCTTTTAAACTGACGATGACAGACAAACTCATCTCACTCTTCGCCATTTTTCTTCACTTACCAGAAAAAGGCATACATGACCAAGGCATTGCCAGAAACACCCACTGTTCCAATAACCAAGACAAAGAAGGCAACGATGTAGTGAGCGTGGTCCTGGACATCCACCTGTCGATAAAATCCACGATCCACGTCCATTTCTGTGACAGCAACCACACACAGACACAGATATCAGCATCTACATTATCTGTCAGTATCTATCTTCATGTACAGCATGTCCTAGTGACTTTCATACAAAGCCAGTCTTCCCCTCTGTCACTCTGACCCACCAAACTCTCCAGCATTATGTAAGAGTACTTATCATGATCAGCAAGTAAAATGTCTGGGGGCACAAATGTAAAAATAAGATGTGACGGCACGGCATGCAGCTTGTGTCTGCAAGACTGCATCTTTATTGAGTTACCATTCCTTCATGTCAACATCCTAATCAGTTAAGTCATTTGACTCAAGGTCATGTTAATTCGCTTGTCTTATGTGACACGATCTATCCATCTTTTCGTTTTTGATCACATCCATTGTTGTTATTTTTTGTTGTTTTTTGTCCTTTAGACATGTACCAGGTGAGTGCTCACATTTTGAACCTACCCAGTTCCTATGTATATTCCTTTATGAAATCTGAGGAAATCCTTACATTTCCTCCCAGATCACTGTTGATGTTTTGGTACTCAACTGTAAACTTTGTGAACTTTCAAACAGGAAATTTTGGGTTTTGGTTTTCATTGTATACTGTTTCTGTAGGTTCTGAGGAAGAGTCAGTACTGTTCTGTGCCTACTCTACAGTATGTTTGTTAGGTTGGTTGGACATTAAAGACGATCTCGTCTGGCTTTCAAGCTTTTTAGAGAAACGTACTGAAAAGCTTAGTTTCACCTTTACACAGCTCTCTCGGTCTATCAGTTGGTTGGTTGGCTGGTCCACCACTTAGGTCCGGGCTGAAATATATCTCAACAACTACAGAATTCATTTGTATGACATTTTGTTTAGACGGTTGACTCCTACTGTCTTTGGTGATCCCCTGACTTTTCCTCTGGCACCACCATGAAGTTGACATTTGTGGTTTGGACTGAAATGTCTCGACAGCTTTGGAGGGATTGCCATGATATTTGGAACACACACTGATGTTCCCCTCGGGATGAATTTATATAACTTTGATGATCCCTTTAGCTTTACTATACCGCCATTATCAAGTTAAAAAAAAGTTTGTTCAATACTTGGTTTATGACAAAATACCTCCAAAACTAAGGACATTCCCATCAACCTCAGCTGTCAACTAAACAAAGTTAGTGGTAATTAGCAAATGCTAACACTGGTGGTGAACATGGTAAACTATTATACCTGTGAGGCTAAACTTCATTATGCTGGTACCGTCAATGTGAGCGTATTGCCATTCTAGTTTTGGCATTTAGCTCAAAGCTCCACTGTGCCTAAATACAGCCTCACAGGGCTGCTAGCATGGCTGTACACTCTTGGGTTTGTTTGCACACCAGGGGTCAGATTTTTAAACCATGCATGTGTACAAAAACCATATGCATACACCATTTTTTAAAACAGAATGCAGCACCCTGCACAAGTAGATCAGGTGCACATTTCTAGAGGGATCTGGGGTGAGATGGTGAGGTGGAGATAAATAAGAGAGAAAAATAAATTAATAAATATATTGTTTAGGTTCCAATACCAATCAAAGGTGCATTTATTAACTTCATTTTGATTAATTACTTTTGTGTGATCAGTTGTATCATTCATACATTGAAGGCCCTTGTTTTATTTCCATTTGTTTATGTTCTTGTGAAGCAGTTTGTAGACATGAGTGCTCTCTCATGTTAAGTCCCCCAAGGTTTAGTCCTTGGTCCCCTACTATTTTACATCTATATGCTTCTGCGAGGCAAACATTTTCAGAACTACAGTGTCTCACTTCACTGTTACACAGATTGCAGGCAACTGTCTGGATGATATTAAAAGATGGATCGCTAATGATCTTCTACAATTAAATGAAAACAAAACAGAGAACATACTGTTCTGCCCCCAAACTCCCTCAGCACCACCCAGTCCGCCAAGTATTTATCCAGTCACATCAAACCTTATGCAAAAGACCTTGGCATAATATTCAACAATAATCTTGAATAATATATTGAATATAAAGGGAACATAGTACGCCTGTTTTTAGCATCTTTGCACTAGACTCCTCATCCGGTATCGAATTCCTTATAAGTTCCTTCGGTTTGTATTTAAAGCCCTGGATGGTCTTGAGCTACTCTATATTGCAGAACTTATATCCCATACAGTACAGCTAGGCCCCTCAGATCTACAGATCAAGGAATGTTAATCATCCCACAATCTTGTTGGAAACCTTTTGGAGACAGGGCCTTCTCAGTCACTTTACCAAGACTCTGGAATAATCTGCCTGAAAATATAGGAACAGCAGAATCTTTTGATTTGTTTAAAAGGTGCCTTAAGACACACACACGTGCAAATTTCTGTCAAAAAGAATGCATATGCATATTTCTGTCTTTGTGTGTACACAGTGTGGTGAGTTTTATGCACCTGCCCTCATATCTTTTTCTCTTAATGTCAGCACTTTAGCCTTTTTGAGCCTTTCACTTCTTCAAGTATCACACCTATTCTCCAATGAGAAGAGCAATCATGCCATTAGCTCAGTATCTCCTTTGCAAGGTGTTTTGGTAGGAATGGTATAGGACTGGTACAAATATTCTCTTCCCTAATGCCCGACACATGAGCTCAGTAATTTTCCAAGAACTTTAAACATTCTCTACACTGCACCTTTCGGACCTGAAAAGACCAAAAAAGGTCTTCCAGTTTAACACTGACTTGGCATGATAGATTAGGACTGAGTGTGCTTTTTGTTTTGTAATGAATTACATGTCGTATAGCTTATGGAATCAGAAGGATTATGACAGTCGTGCCTTTTAATATCAATTATTAACGCTTGGAAACTGTAAAATCGGTTGACCGATTATTAATCACATTAAGAGTTGAAGAGCAGTGAAGCTGCCATGGTAAAAAAGGACAGAGGAGAATTTTTATAAACAGCAAGGCAAAAAAAGACATTTAAAAATGAATGGCAGCGTGACAGGAAGGATGTATAGACGTATGACACTATTTACAACACAGCAATTATTGGGCATTTTCAACAAAGAGGTGATTAAGTCGAGGCATTTTTATAATGAAAATGGCTGTATGGACTTGCTGTTCCATGTGACCATTGCTTCACTGCAGCAGTGATTATAAGAGGATTTCTATGTTTTGTTAATGTGATGGAATCAGGAGTGCACATTGAGTCACACAATATTAACAGTATTTATCATCATATGTAAACCCACTTCCTGCCTGCCTCTGATCTGCATTATAGAACGGAGTTAGGTGCCAGTGCAGCACAATGCTCTCTGCCTCATCCTTTTCAGAGAATGGTGTAAAATCTCTGTCATGTCACATTAATAATTTGTTTGAGAACAAGAACATGTTATAAATTGCGTCCTCTGTTGACTCGTAGTGCACAATTCAAAATTAAGCTGCTTGATGGTATATATATATTTAATCCCCCAGAGCAGTAGTGAATCTGACACATAATACATAAGCATGGGCATCTATGTTAAAGCACAATGGGTGAAGTATACATGGACATGCTGTGTGTCAGTTCCAGACGGGGAGCTCTTGCTGTGCTCAGTGAAGCCTTGTGCGTCAGAGGAACCCTCAATCACCTCTTCCTTCCCCTAACTAGGCATCAAAGCGTTGTCTAATGTGAAAGTCCCATAAATCAAATCCACATCTGATTTAGTGTGACTGTGTTCACACTAAAGGTGAAATGTACCTTTGCTGTCTTCTAGAAACATTTATAACTGGGATGGGAACATCAGATGTGTTCTTGTTCATTCAGAAATCGCTAATACGAGGTTCATGGTCATGGAAAGCAAATGGATTGATGATGTGAATAAGCTTTGGAGAGAGAACATGCTCCATGTATTGTGTTAAGTAAATTATTTGAATTTTCTACTTGTTTAGTAGATATTAAAAGACATTAAAAACATTTTAAAACCGTATTAAGAAATTTTAAATCTTTTGGAAAATGACTTAAAGAAATACTCTTGACAAATTAATTGGTAAACATTACACAGAGCATTGTTTGAATCAACAAGTGTGTTTGTTAGATATTTTCCTTTTATACAAATAGTTTTTAATAAAAGTTATCTTCCATAGTTTATGAGAATTAAATACAAATCATGTTATAAACAGCATGTTGTATTGGTGAGACGGTCAAGCCCCCTTCTGACAACACCAGATGCCCAGCTTTGGGTAAATGTAAGTATTGATCTGCTAACATCAACATTACTGTATAATTATATGATCGGGGAAGAATCTGTTGGGGTTAATCAAGAGCTGATAGAATAGAATAAATAAGATCTTAAATAAGAACTAAAATGTGTGACTACATTTAGGAAGAAATTTTAGTAACACTGGTACAACAAGCAAGCTTAAACGAAAAGAGAATTAGCAAGAGAATGGAAAACAAATTCATACTTTATTATGAGGTTAATAGATCAAACACATTCTTGAAAACTGGTTTTGCGCTCTTAGAAAGTTTGCTTCATATTGTTGATTTCCAATAGACTTACATATCATGGTTTAAACTCTAGTTTACAAAATGTATACAAAATAAAGAGAGCTTCAAATAAAGTCCATGATAAAACTTAACCAAGTCATTACGTGAACAAAGTGTTACTTTACCTTATCCAGAGAGCGAAGCCCCTTTTCCTCTCCAGGGCACCTCTGTCTTTGTAGTTGACTGGTAAAGAGGATCAGAGACACTGAGGCTGTACGGCATGTAAAACTGCTGGTGAAAAAATCCACCACGCTTAAGGTTTAAATGGATAAGGTTGATGACTGCTTCTCAAATCCCCAAGTTGGATGGAGATTCTGCCTTACTGTGCAGCAACAGTAAGCTACTGCTCTCAGTGCTGGAGAGAGTATGAGAATACGCAGAAAAACAGAAAGCGAGCAGCAGCACATTGACCCACCCCCCTGCTGGCTACCCATCACACACAGCTCTCATATAGCACAATGCATCGATCAAGCCAGTGTGTGGCGTGGTGTGTGTGCATGAGGATGTGCGTGTGTTACTGTTTGTTTGTTTGTTTGTTTGTTTGTGTGGGAAGGTGGAAAAAGGCTGGTCTGATCACATTAAGATATTTCACATAACAACTGTAACCACTAACAAACATAATGTGCTTCATTAGAAAACATTTTTGAAACACCCATTACATGTTGCACCATTGCAGCTTCCCCTTATGAATCATCAAACTGTGTGTACTGCAAAGTAGTCTTCATAAGCACTGATTTCTGTGTATCGAGTACCCATTGCCAGTGGCAGAACTGTATGTGCACCAGATGTCGTAGCTGATGACATGAGAGGTGAGAAAGTGACACATCCCAGTTGCCACGGCTTCCGATTTGGTGCTTTGAGAATTGCAAAGAGAAGTCTTGTGGTTTTGAAAAGCACCAAGCCTTTTACATAGAATCAGCCTTGTTCACTGCTCATCCTTGTGTGAGGAGAATCTTGAGAAAAGCACTCAGATAAAAGCCTACCAATGTTTATCATCTCATGCACAACTGAGCAGACAGCTGGAGTACCTTAATATTTCCATTTTCTACGTAGAAATCTGACCTCTTTGTTTAACTGACATAGCACCTGGTTGCCTAGGGTCAAAACAGGGCTGAAGATGCAGCGACTTATAAAATGGGCTTTCTCTGTGAAGTTTGGATACAATCAAGCAAGAGGAGGATAAGCCTTTACACTTCTGGGTCACCACCCTTACGGGAGACAGACCTATCACCATAACTAGTTTCCAGCCAGTTAGTTTTCCTGCAATGTATTCTGACATAGTAAAACAGGGGCAGATACTGGTTGTGTGTTTTTTGTTTGTTTTTTGTGGGGGTTATTGTTTTGTTTTGTTGCACTTGTATTGATTTGTTTTCTATATCGTGTGAAATTCTTTTGGAATCTTTTCTGGGTCAAACTACATGGTCGTGATGACCAGCTGATTCACTGCGAGGGCATTCAGTGTCAGTGTTACAAGGCTTAACTGTTTATTGTATGTAGCTAAGACAAAGAGAGCTTTCATAAATTCTGTATACTTCACAAGAAAAGGAAAACTGAAATGTTTCCAACTGAAGCATATACAGTAGGATAATTCAGTGTTTTAAACATGCAAGTTGAATGCAATCCAGTGCCATAGTCCAGCAAAAAAAAACCTCAATGTAGCTTATAACATTAAATCGACATGCAGAGAGGTGTTTTTGTGTTTTGGTCATTTCAGGTGTTGCATTCCATTTTACATGGAGGAAGCATATTATTACAGCTACTTTGAGGGATTATACATCGTATAAATATCGTAAATAGTGAGATAATGTGGTCAAAAAGTAGAACTGTGTATTGCCACTTTGTCTGATTATTGCATAGCCTGGAGGAAGACAATTAAAGTGGAGGATGTGAGAATCACTGGTAACAGAACTGTCCCTGTTTGAAACAGTAAGAGGTTATTTATGTAAAATGGTGCTTCAAGGCTACGTAGTGTGGCTCCTCAAGAGCCACCAAGAAATGGCCATACAGCAACGCATACTAATGTCAGTTGTTTTAGTCAGGCTACAAGACTGGGTGAGAGTGCTGTTTGTTTGCTTCTTTTGCCTGAGGTAACCCCCCATTCCACTACAATCAACTGTCCAATTACTGTCAAATTGGTCTGTCACCTCTGTCACTCCCTCTGAGGTGTGAAAAGGACAAATGCATCCTGCAAAATATATTTCAACAAAACAGCTTGTACTTTAGATTTCCTCTACCCTTAATGGGTTTTAAGGGCAAGCAGTTGTGAACAGAATATAATTATGCGGGGGCCGCCAGTACGTATACAATCTCATTCTGCAATAATGCATCTGAAACACAACAAACAGAGAGGTGTGAAAAAAGACACATTGATTTGTCGGGGGGGGGGGTTGACACAAATGTTTCTCAACCATTCCTAGGTCACCATAATGACCTAATTAATTTGATGTTTTAGAGGTAAGGAGTAGTTTATGTTCAAATGGTCTGTGTTAATATGACAAGACAATACATCATAGTTGTCATCATATTCTAATGGTACATTGCTTTATTGATTAAAATAGGTAACTTTAAGTATTAATTCCAAATATGTGTTGTATAAACCAGATATCATTAACCAGACACCAAAATATGGTTTGTACCGTTTTGTCAGCTTTAGTCCATAAGTCATTTGTTTCTCTACCCAGTGGTCTCAGACTCTTCTCAATCCTGCTTGAGAAAAAAAATCTGGTTTGGAAATCCCTTCATTTTGACACAATTTACACAGTCAAGCCATGAAGGTATTACGTCTACAAGTATTAGACTATCATTTAAAACTCTGTTATTCATAACCATAATTTTTCAAAGTTCAGGTGGTCTTACTCTCCATTTATTCTTGAAGAGTTCTTTTGATCCATATTTTTGAGTTTTGGGCATAGCTCAAGTGCTAAAATTCATAAAGTCAGATCAGATTATTAAAAACTCTTCTCACTAACACAATATGGTGTTTGGGCATAATTTAGAACTCTGTACTCCTCTGATTTTAGTTCAAAAGCCTCTCTCATGTTACTTTTTTACATATGATTTGTTGAACCACGGTGTTATTGCCAAAGATTCTCGACACAGTGATCAGCAAGGTTTGTTAGAGTTGTTTTTACAGAGTTCAGTCCACTTTAACCAGTTAGGTCATTTCTATGTATACATCCGCAAGTGAATTTCATGCAAAAATAGACCCAGGGCATAAAGCTATAGAAGCAGAGGAAAGAGTCATATGACACAATGCCACATGTCTGGGGGATATTACACACACTGGCTGGACTCAACTAAGCTGTGTCCGGTGGACGTTGTGGATTAAAGGGTTACAGTCATTTATCTTTTGATCGCTGATCAGTCATTCTCTGCTATTGCAACAGTACCTCCTGCATGGTGCTCCCCTGTTTTTTGGCCCCTAGTACAGTGTGGGTGTAGGATAGATAAAGCATTTTTGACATACTGGTTTGGAACTGGCAAGTTTTAACACGTTTGGATTGCTTTGGTTAGTGTATATAGTAGTTTATTCTTGACCATAAAGTTTACAAATTTTCCAATATACATTAGTTTCCCTGTCTTTACTTTCTATTCTCTATCCGACATTTATGAGTCTGGGGCCTGTTTTACCAAGTTTAAAAGATGCACTTTACAAATTAGATAATTTCCTTTCATGTTAATTTTGGCACTTATTGTTTATTGGGATCATCATTAGTTACAGGAATCCATATTTAAATAAAATACATATAGTCAATAATGTACAGTACATACACAGCATACGGTAAACAATAAAGTTACAATATTGCCATTCTACCAGACAATAAGATTATATCATACAAGTTATCTAGTCGTGTTGGTTGATCACTATTTAAGCCAGAAGTTAATTTACTGACCTAAAGTCAAATTTGCAGAAAGATTTATACCATTTTTCATATAACAATGTTTAATTAATTGTGCTATGTGATACTGTCATTGTATTTCTTATTTTTAGCTTTTAGTTTTCTACTAGTTTTCAACAAAACAATTACCAAATAAAGTAAGCAGCAAGATGTTCTGAAATAGAATTACCCTCAGAAAAGGAGTCTTACTTAATTTAATGCATCTTATTTTGATACCTTGTTTTATTTTTTCAATTAATTTAAGCTGCATCACCAGACTTTAGTGGCCACCTTTTTCTTTTACTTTTCACTATATTAAAACAAATACCATACTTGTGACCCATGCATGAGCATGCAAGAGCTCTGTAGTGAATGGGCCCTCAACAGTTCGGGTGTGACCTTGCCTGGCTCCATTTTCTTTAGTATCCCTCCTCACCTCACCTTCCCTTATTTAACTCCATGTGAGCATGATAGAGATAGATTAATTCCCATACCGTGCTCCACCAGGTGACAAATGTTAAATGAATGACTAGTCACCTTCACAGTATGCTCTTTTTCATTTTTATTGTCCTTTATGCTGATTATTTTTCTACATTACGTAAGTGTCTCAGCATCAGCAACATTGAGGAACACAGAGGATCAACTACTCATTTGAATTAAGGGCTACTGCAGACCTGTCTATATGGATTACTACGGACTTAGTTATAGCTAGTGGCACAGCAACTCAAAGGAATGAGAGATTATCAATAAAACTAACCTCAGGGACACAGTGAACTTTGTGAGGGGCCGTGACAGAGCTTTACTGAGACATTGATGAATTATGGCTATTTGTTCTTAACTCTAAGGTATTTACATTAAACATCATATGGCTCACGAGAATACCATAATGCCTTCATCAGTAATTTTCAATACAGCCATATGCTAATGACTGACCAATATCTGAGCAACTCCACTGCTCTGTAAAAGGCACAAGACACATGGTTATTGTAGATGATTGTAGTAATCAGACATCAACCTATGTCACAGTAGGATACTGCACGGCCTAGCACGATAACACAGTGACAATGCGTCACTGTGAAAAGCTAGTTCAGTCAGGACCAATTTTGTCAAAAGAACTTTTATTTCCAAAGCAGAATGTTACATTTGGCGGTATGTCTCTGTTCTGGGACCTCCCTGCCCTTCCATGTGCATACATGGAAAAGTTTAAGACAAGGAGAGTAGCAGCAGAGACCACACAGGGTATTCAGAGCAATGGCAATCAGAAATTACATTGATTAATCAGATACAGCATAAAAGGAGGAGCTGGAGTGGAGGTGGGTTGAAAAACGGCTTGCAGAGAAAGCAGCAAAGTTAGGCAGGCCAAAGCAGTTTAAATAAGGCGCCCTGAATGACATTTGCCAATTGGATGCTTTTTTACCCCCAATTTAGACTATTTTAATGGTCTTTAACCTGATTCGTATCTGCAAGATAGCTAACTAGCTGTGGACAGTACAAGGGGACATT